CAATCCACACCTAATAACTCATACAAGGGGTGATTGCATGTATAGAACAATATGGCCATGGGCGGAGCTAGGGGTGGGCCAAGCTAGGCCATGGCCCACCCCAAATTTTAAAAACGGCTTAATTTTTAAGGTAAAAAATTTCGTGTAATTTTTTTCTAAAAATATTCTTTATACCGGCCCAATCTAGTCTAGTGCGCTGGCTCCGCCCCTAAATATGGCTGCTTTCAGGAGCCGTTTAACCCTTTAGTAAACCACAACGTACCGGATCAAGTTTTTCTTATCAAACACATCTCTATGTACAAATAATTCCCTTCTCCAACTATGCAGAAATTGTGGAGCATTCCCATAAGTTTGTGGCAGATAAACAGCCCTTGAAGAAAGTACATTTTAACCAGGCCAGTTGTGAACTTGTGATGCATACAAAACATTGTGATCACCATAATTTTACACCGCCAGAAGTATAACATGATTAGTATTAAAAACCCAGAGCAACCATAAAAACAAAATAATTTGATTAAAAATTGCAATCCTTCAAAACCAGCTTTCAAAACGAAACAAAAAAACAGGAACACAAAAACAGTGAGCCTAAAGGGGTGTCCTCATTTAGCATTCTAAAGGATTTTAAATGATTGAGATTTTAATGGAATTGAATGGAATTCTATAGAATCTAGTGGAATTACATGGAATTAGAATTTCTTCTTGAAAACACTTTTTTTAGCATTTTTAAGTCAAAAGTCCTGAAGCGTTTTTTAAGCAGTTGCAAACACTCAGTAATAAATGTATAACTTATCATTAATTACTGAGCTTTTTCAACCGTTGGTCCATGATCATTGTGTTTGACACTTTTGGAACTCAATTTTTATTTTTATTTTTTATTTTTATTTTTAATCATTCGATTATTGTGTAAGAGAACTTTTAGTTCACGACTTTAAAATTCTGCATATCCAGTGTGTTGAGTATTTTCATATTGACATTTTAGGTCCTTCCACTTGATTTTGGTACAATGAGTGGGGACTAAAAATGGATAATACTTAAAGGACTAAAAGTAAGACTTGTATTAAAGTCGAATGATTAAATATAGAAAATTTTAAAAACGGGTACCAAAAGTATCTTCACACAATATCCAATTATCACAAGTGAAAAAATTAAAAATCGAGTACCACTAGCGTCATGGACATATTCGACATAATAGTTGGTGGGTTAAAACTTAAAAGTGATAAAAATTCTTAATTACCTTTTATTATCTAGTTTTATAATTTAAAATAGGGAAAACTGTCAAATAGGTCCTCGAACTTTTATAAAAAAGTCAATTAAGTCCTTTTTTAGGATGCTCTGTCCTGCCGTCGCGATTTGGGGCTGTTTCCAGTGGAATTTTTTGATGAAATTTTTTGAGCATCTTATTCATCAAGTCTGGTTTACTCATACCAAATTTGAGCTAAAAGTTCAATTGGGAACGCATTCAAATTAATTCTTAAAGATAACTGCTCATTTAACTGCACAATTATCTTCAAGAATTAATTTGAATGCGTTCCCGATTGAAGTTTTAGCTCAAATTTGGTATGACTAAACTAGACTTGATTAATAAGATGCTCAAAAAAATTCATTAAAAAATTCCAACGGGAACCGCCCCAAATCGCGGCGGCCGGACAGAGCATCTTAAAAAAGGACTTAATTGACTTTTTTATGAAAGTTCGAGGACCTATTTGACAGTGTTCTCTTTAAAATATCATCGACAAAATTCTATAAATAGCACATAAGAAGGACAAAATTCAGGACTATTATTTGTTATCTTATTTTCCAAATAGAGCTCAATCACTACTTCTACTTTAGGAAGTTTTTTTTTTTTTTTTGCAAAGCTATTTGGGAACTGGGGAGTTCTAATCCCAAACACTACACCGCTTTTGATTTTACATCGGGTAAATCTACAATTGATGTGGAGTACTGTATAAAATTAGTAACATACTCCGATCCGTTAGGTTATTTAACATCGGTTCTTCAAATATCCTTTGTGAAATATTTTTATAATTTTGTAAAAATAACTTTCTCTCATATGGGTCGTAGAGTAACACGTCTAGAAAGTAGAAAGTCTTGTGAGAAAAGATCTTTTTGTACTAAATTCGTCATTCAATGACTGATGGAGCACTGGAAAATGCTTCATGTGCCGGTTTTTACCATTAACAAGCTTTATATGATTGTCTCATATTCGTCAATTAGCCTTTCTTCAAAAAACCAATAGGGTGGTTGAGTTTTATAGTTGGATTAGAAAATTGGTTCTGCCCGATTTATGTAGAATTTAAATTAACACCGATTGACGGTGATTTTGTTGCTTTGATCAGTCCCCTCCTCATGAACCCCATCGTGCTATAAAAAAGGGAAGGTAGTGTTCTATTAGATCGTCACAAATGGCTAGTTAGATCAAATGATTTTTGCAAATTTTGTGATGGTTCACTTATGGTGGTTGGTTAGACCGGATGAAGATAACATTTGGTGGATGGTCAAGTTGATATGCTCTTAATTTTCTCTTGTCGATAACTTATTGGCTATTGCACTGGAATCGACCTATCGGTCTCGGATGTTAGCTACCCTAGAACCGGGACCGGCGACGGGTATAGCGGTTTCGGTCGCTCGGTCATTCTCGATCCTAGTTTTTTAATTGGTTTTATTTTTTATATGTTTTTAAACCCTCACAATGGCACAATTCCTTCTCTGCCCTTTTTAACTTTTAAATGAATTTATACCTCTCTTGAGATGCTTACAAACTTTTGAAAACCAAAAATAAAAGATCGGATTGCCTGATTCTAGTTCCAAAAATCACTAACCGGGATCGTCGTCGGTCTTTAACTCAAAATAAAAAATAACAAGTGGGGTGATATATTGGGACCGGCTAAAGGTGTGTTTGTCAATGCTTAAAAAAAGCACTTTCAGCTTTTTTGGGGAGTAAAAGCTAAACGAAGTGTTTGCAAAAGAAAAATTCAGCTTAATTTAATCAGTTTTAAGCCAAAAGCTAAAAGCAGGTCTGGGCATGCTTTTTTCTGCTTCTTGGTATTTCCGTAAATAACATCAACTTTTGGGATGTTTTTATTTCTAAATATATGGATTAATTCAAAAACACCCTTCGTCCCCACAAGCACCGTACAGAACTACAGACCCACCATTCCGTCGTTCCAAAGCTCATAAGCTAGAGTAGACTAGTCCTTCCATCATCCAAAAACCTCACCTCTTCTTCAATCCATTCCAAACTCTTCCCTCTCAATTACCATTCTTCCATCTGCAAATTCAAGTGGGCAAAACAGAGACATGCGACAGAGGGTTTAATTTGATTATATATTGAAGGTCTTGGGGTTCTGGTCTTCTAGATTTCTTGACTTTTCGTGCATTTCTCACAGAATAACTGCACCTTGCAGCCTCCCATGGCGGCTGGACAGACTTTGGATCTCAAATCCACACAAAAGGGCAAAAAACGATTCTTGTGAGTTGATGACGCATTGACGCTTCCGGAGGAAATAATAGGGAGAACGACTTCCAATTTTGTTGATGCAAGGGCAATTGTGTACTTTAACAAAATATTCCATCAAAAATAACTTTTTTATCAAACACTTCAACTTTTACCTTTTAATTAAAATCACTTCCATTTACAAACACTATCTACTTTTACTACAAATCACTTTTCCAATAATCTCTTAAAAAAAACACTTTTCAAAAGCACAAGCAAACGCAAACACTCCCTAAGACTAAACGGGAATGATCAAACTACTATGTGAGTATATTTTTACGGGGTTGATGAATATTTGATCTTTGAATCGTTTGATTTCATATCTTGTCCCTTTGTAACTTTGAGCATTACAATTATTATTATTCTTTTTATCCTTATATATATATTTAAGTCTGTTCTTTTTCAAAAACAAATATTTCAACTTTATCTATTTCTACATTTAATTAGTAATGAACCAAGTTACATGCCTACGGTCATTAAATATATCAATAAAAAAAATTAATTAAATAAAATAATTTTGGTAGTGCATATGAATAGTTTACCTCTCAATTGCCGATGTTTATTGTCAATTATACACTCAGTCATTCTTATTGCACACAAAATTTGTACACAAAATTGTACACAATCATTCTATGTGCACAAACAACTATTGATTTTTTAATGAATTGCTTGTGTACACAGGCAACTAGAGGGGTATTTGTGTACAAGTTTAATTTTCCTTATAAACTGAAGTTCAATGCAACAACATTAAAAATAGCATAGTAAGTCTAACTGTGCTTAATGATATAAATGTGATCACTTTTAAAAATTTATAAAAGTGATCATGCATATAGTCATTCCGTTGTCCCTTTTAGTTATTTCATTATATCATTCTTAGGGAGTGTTTGCAATTGCTTCTGCTTAAAAAAAAAGCACTTTTGGAGATGTAAGGAAAAAGTGATTAGTAGGAAAAGTTGATAGTGTTTGAGAAAAAAATGATTTTGAAAAGTAAAAGTTGGTAGTGTTTGGTAAAATAAGTGTTTTTTGTGTAATAGAAAGGGAAAAAGCACTTTTCACACGCAAGGCGAGAAAAAGTAAAAATTGGTAGTGTTTGCTAAATAAGTGCTTTTTAAGTCAAAAGCTGAGAAATGCTTTTTTTAAGTGATTGCAAACACTCCCTTATTCATACGGTCATACCTTCACCGTCTCACACGTCATTTTGATTTTTGCGATTACATCTTGAGAGTATTTAGAAATTTCTATTAATATATTTCCGGTGGTAGTTAAGGCAATTGGGTTGATAGATGGAGAAGAAATTCAAATATATTCGGTCTCTTAAAAGGTGTCATTTTTACTATCACAGATTCTAACAATATTTGATTATTTCATTTTATTATAGTTTTAAAGCCAATAACGTCAATTTTAGACAAAGTTCACAATTAGCTCATCCGACCAAACACGCCCTAATTATCTTCAACTATGCAGGATATTAATCTTTTTTAGGTAGGAAGTAGATGAATGAAATGACAAGACTGTGAATTTCTTCATCAATTCATGGAAATGTTTATTTAGTTACTCATGTCATTCCCCCTTGCAAGTAAGCAAGTCCTATAAATGCTTTGCTAATATTCCGCATTATGCATCTCCATCTTCAACAAATGCTTTGTCTCTCATCTGAATGGATCTAAGTAGCAAAACATGTGAAGGCTCTCAAATGTTATCTTCCAAAAGGTTAGTTTTTATTGCGTTATTAAGTTGCATCTCTTTTGCTTGTTCCAAAGACACCAACTTTACTTGATATATAAGAGGATTAGTTTAAGGGGAAATTAGAGTTCTCAGTGTAAAGTTTTATCAGGTTTGAATTTGCACATTATTTTCAAATCATAAAATTACACCCTAAAAATTACATGTAAATCATATTTTATTTCAAATTGGTGTTTGCAACCCACTATTAACCCTTTGAACTTAGACAGTACAGATTTTCATGTTTTGAAAAATATCGCAAATTCAACTTTTTGTTAGAAAGTTGCAGTGCAAAGTCCAATTGCCCTTTAATTTAATGTTCTATATGTTAGTTTGTATCAGCATACTTAGTTAACTCTGGGCTTAATTCAGGTCATTTTTAGACGGCAAAGTTGCAATTATAACTGGGGGAGCAAGAGGGATAGGAGCCAAAACAGCAAAGTTACTAGCAAAAAATGGTGTTGATGTAGTCATCGCTGACATTCTTGATGAGCTAGGGTCCCCTCTGGCCGAATCGATTGGGGGTCGATATATCCATTGTGACGTTTCGAATGAAGCCGATGTCGAATCTGCCGTGAATCTTGCATTGGATTGGAAAGGAAAGCTCGACATAATGTTCAACAATGCGGGCATTGCAGGTCACAATTCAAATGGAATCTATAAAGATCATTAAAAATGTGATTAGGAAATGTAGCAACTATTTTACATACAACACTAAAATGGAAGTCTTTTCTCTAAATATGACGATATATCCCAATCTGTCTACAATAATGCTATACACAAAAAACGGGACTGTTAACATAAGTACTTCATAAATATAGGACCAAGCGGGAGTATCATGAACCTAAAAATGGATAAGCTAGCGAACCTGCTAGCCGTGAACCTCAACGGGGTGGTTCACGGAATCAAACACGCGGCGCGGGCGATGGTGGCAGGAGGCAAAGGTAGCGGTGGTACGATCATATGCTCATCAAGCTCAGCAGCTGTCATGGGTGGTTTAGCTTCACACCCTTACTCATTGTCAAAAGCAGCAATCCTGGGGCTGGTGAAGAGCGCAGCATGCGAGCTCGGGCAATACGGGATTCGGGTGAACTGTGTTTCGCCACACGGTGTCCCCTCGGAGATGCTGGTGAGTGCTTTCGGAAGGTTCGTTGGGAAGATGGACGCAGAAGAAGTGGGGAGAATTGTTGGAGAACGGGGGAGTCTGTTAGTAGGAAGAGGAGGAACCATGGAAGATGTAGCTCAGGCTGTCCTCTTCCTGGCTAGTCAAGATTCTGGATTCATAACTGGCCAAAATATTGTTTTGGATGGGGGTTTTACATCAGGTGTCAATCAAATGAGTTTCATATATCAAAATTGAATGAATGCCATAGTGACAAATCCTTCAGCAAGGAGCGAGTTTGATCCAATTCAGACGGGAAATATAACATTTCACCTAGCTGCTAATTAAAATTCTACACATTTCCCTAATGTAAAGCATAGGGTGTGCCTATATACGAGGGGTTGTGAAGTCAGAAATGTCATGTTAGAAGGAACGTGGATAAAGAATTTATATTGGGCAGCCAAAGCTAAAAATATCACAATATTTTTTATTGTTTAAAAATTGAATATGATAGATTTTTATAAACAAATTAAGAAAAATATAAATAAATGACATTGAATAGATGAATATTGTGATGACAAATATTATTTCAGGAATGGAGGAAAAGTAATCCAAGGAAAAATATACGTAGTATTACATTGTTAATAACTTTAGAGCCATTAGATTTCCAATCAATTAGATCGTTCCTACTTTCATACACTAAAACAACTTCACATTTGATCCAAAATCTACCCACATACACTTTATGAGAAATATTTTTACTTTATTTTCCCGTAAAATATCCGCAAGTTTAGCTTTTTGTCTACCCTAAAACTATCCTTCACAAACCATTTTGTGATCCATATAATACACTTGATCATTCCTATTTAATATAGTGAGACATCTTCTCATTTGATTCAAAATCTACACATATACATCAAATCTATGATGCACTGATACTTCACTATGATGTCGTATGCGCGTAGTGCTGGACTCGGGCCGGGCGGCCCGGCCCGGTTACTGTTTGGCCCGGCCCGGCCCGGGGCCCGGTGGGTCCACCGGTTCGGTTCGGCCCGGCCCGGCTGCTGGGCGGTTCGGGCCCGGGCCCAGGTTTTGGTGAACCGGCCCGGATTTTAATTTTTTTTTTTTTTTGAAATTTTTTTAAGTTTTAGGTTGGATTAGGTATTTTGGGCCATTTGAGGTGGTTTGGGATGGTTTGGGGTTGAGGGGGAGGGGTAGGGGATTAAATAGGAGAACAAAAAAAAAATAATTGGGCCGGTTCGGCCCGGCCCGGTTTGGCCCGGAACCGGGACCGGAACCGGCCACCGGCGGTTCGGGCTCGGGCCTCCCTTTCCTGGCCCGAGGCCCGGCCGGGCCCAGGCCCGAACCGGCCCGAGTCCAGCACTTAATGCGCGTATACGATACGTGTATGATATTGATACCCACTGATACATGTCATGTACTTATTGGGTTTGTATACATAATTTAATTTAAAAAATGGACTTAATTATGGAATTATATATACTTATGATACACATAGCCGTAGACGGATACGCGTATCCAAAACAACACGCAGACTAACTTACTAACATGCAATGCTAATCTAAGGCACAAACAGAAGTCCATAATAGGGATGGGCTGGGACGGGTCAGCCCGACCCGGGCCCAGTACTGTATAGGCCCCATTCCAGAGCCCGGCCCAGTGGCTATAAGGGTGGACTACGAGCTCGTTTTTTGGGCACGACCTGCCTGAGCCCGAGCCAGACCCGGGCCTGATTGTACTTTTTTTTTTTGAAAACTGTACTATTTTTTAATTTATTGCCCAGTCTGTCCTGAATCCCGGCCCGACCCGGTTCCGGTACAAACCCGGGCCGGTATCAGGCCTGAAATCCTTAAGCCTAAGCCGGCCCGGTCCACCCCTAGTCCAGAACATATACATCCGTTCATGGAAGCAAAGAATATAAAAATTGATGATAACGGTATTGTGATAAAAAGAAACGAGATAATTGTACTAGAAAAAATACTCAAAAAATATCATAAAGCGTGGCAAACCTAAAGGCCGTCTAGATCGGTGTTCATTAGTTCATTATACAGAATTCAAATATTCTGCCTCTTTAGTCACTGTTATGACACCATGGCTGATTAGCTAAGCAGTGAACCAGGAGTGATATAAATAAAGAGAGGGCTTGACCTCATTTATGTGTCTATAATCATGACCACAAATTGTGTTTTAGTTCAAACTCAGAGAGCAATATGATATATATACACTAAGCAAAGAGTATGCCTCCTGATCTTCCATTACAATAGATAAGGCATTGTTTGTGGCCTTATAGAGCACCCTCCTTTAATTATACAAGCATTACATACACTAAGCAACAACATAAAGACGAGAAATTTTGTGTCAACTTGTGCTAAAAACCTGTCTTTACAACTTGTATGTGGCTCTCTTGGTATAACCCAAAGGATTGGTGACAACACTGACCATACCCTCTTTTACAGACAATTCACTGCAAATTGGATTTGCGGGGCTTCCCTTGTAAGCTTTGCAGATGTAGCTTAAGAAGTTCTCATAATCCTGCAACATGAACATTGTAACTGTTATATCATACTCCATAAAATACAACCTTTTATTGATGTAACTCTGAACATACAACATAATTTCTTGAGACAGTTACAGTGTATATAGGAAAATAATGGACCTCGACCTATGCTAAAATTTAAACTTGATAGGGATAAAAAAAACTACAGTACTACTAAGGATGTTTTTACTTGGACTGAAATTTGTTGGTCAGGTGTGGTCTAAACTGATCTGGTATGGTAAATGTGTGGTCTCTATGTATTCTGGTGTGGTCATCTGGTCAGAGACAGAAAACAGTCCGAGTAAAAACATCATAAAACTATGAAACTATATTACCAATTCAATACTTCAATACCAATATAGTTAGTCACCGACACTTCTCTCCTAGTCTCCTTCACCTTTGGTATGAAAATTTGCTATGCATCACTCACTCACATAAGCATCAAAGTTGATTTAAATACTCTTATTGTTTAAGAAGTTTAAAAGAGATAAAAGAATAGGCAGTCATAGTAGATCTTGTCAACTTACTTCATCGGCCAAACAGCATACATTAAATGGTTTATTTATTATCCAAAATTGATATGCGAGAGAGATGCCCCTTAATATTCAGGCAAAAAATGTATTTTCGTCCCGGTTTTACTTCACTACTTGACTTTACAGCTCATGTTTATTTTCTTCAACTTTTGCGCACCAGGTTTATATACCAAAATATTCATTAGATTTTGCTCCACAAGTTTGCCTTGTGTGTGACTTTGCGGTGCAACACCAAAGAAGATAAAATAGAGTGTAAAGTCAAATTTTGGGGTAAATTTGGACTACAATATCTGAATTCCCCTAATATTCGATTATGTCAGTATAAGCTGATTGCCCAACTGAGAGAAATAGCTGATCAGTCATTTACAAAGTCCATTTTACTAAGCAGAAGGAGCCTGACCTCATATAGGGGCTGTCCATCCACAACTACCCATGGCACGTACTGATGAGGAGGCACAAGGGCATTTGTTTCCGCTGCATAGCTCAACTCAAGCTGCAATATCGAATATGGTCAACGAGAAAAAAAAAATTAATGAAATCTTTTCTTTTAAATAAACCTAAGCGTGTAGTGCAAATCAGAACTATCCTTCCAGACATTTAAATAGGATTTTTTGTAGTCCAGAACCTCATAGGTTGGTTTTTAGGTTTTATACTTCATATGTGAGATGATCACTTAACATTAAGAATGAGTGATGAGTATAAATAGGATATGTAACTATGGAAGCAGAAAGTCAACCTCTTTACCCCTCCCTAAGGCATAACAATCAGAAACTGACTTTGGATCATTGACCAATTTATCATAGCATGTTTCCCACTGACTGTAATTTCCGTTGTAGACCAGGCTTTCCACGCAATATATAAACGGGAAGTGTTCTTTCTGCAGGTAGATGTTAAAACTCAATTAGTTAACAAGACTAGGAGTGGCAAAAGAGTTCATTTTTTCCACCATTTCTCCTATTCATTACTAATGAAAATCCACTGGATCACATTTCAAAATGGCGAGCTGGTGTGCACAAGGAAAACCAGTACTCAAGTTAATCTATCCACCCTCTTTGGCCATAATCTTGGGTGACTGAACTAATGTAGTGAATGAACGCATTGAGGGAGAGTGGTATGAAGTGAATCGAAGGTAGTTGATGTCACTATGCACTTCTTGAATTCCCTTATTGTTGTTTCACAAATCACAACAGTGAGTAGTAATGCCACATAAATAGCAATGACATGAGCAAAGGGCAGTCATGTAGGTGGGAAGAGAAGTAACGTCAGGGGAAGGGATTCCGACGGGAAGTACAGTGATCCTGACAAGAACATGTAAGAAGGGCAGTGACACCAGCAAATATAGTGTATATGTAATTGGACGAAAGCGGTGAACATTTATTATTTTAACACACTTAAATACAAAGGGTATTTTAGTCATATTAATTTCAGTAATCATATAGAAGAAAATATACTATTTTTTAGCCATATTCCAGAAAGTTTTCCATGTATTTTCAAGGGTACTTTTGAATAATACCAAAAACCTAAAGGTTATCTTAAAAGTTCCCTCAAAATGAATCCAAGCAATCCCCTTGATACACTTAGATAGCATAAAAAGAACACAAGAGCTTTCCTACTATCAAACAATTTGGTAGCATTTTTTGTTAAATTTGCTTATTCTACTTTTCAGCACACAAAATAAACAACGACTTACACAAAGATCACTTCATTTAAACTTGATATAGAAAGACATCTTGATTCAAACATGACTGGGTGTACAAAATTAAAAAGTAAAAAGCTCGTAGGTAGCTTTTGACTTACTTATTTGGGTGAAATGGACTATCCAACATATTCAGTCATTTCAGGCAACTAAACCTTTCCAAACAAGCACTATGTACTTCAATCACAAATGAACCAAAGAGCTAATAACCAAACCGAAACATACCACATCTGGCCAGGCATCAATAGCACAAGCCTCTACAGTGTTCAACAAACACTCATCCGCACCATGCTGCAGCAAAAACAGAGGAAATTCAAGTGTTTCAATTGTGCATCAATTCAAAAATCTCAAAGAGTGATGAAAATGGAAGGGTTATGAAGGACCTGGCATGTAAAGGTGTCGTTGTTTCCATGAAGCTTAGCATTACCCCAGGGGACGAGGGTAAGATCGACGATATCTATGATCCCATTTTCAAATATATTGACTAAATAATTAACTATGAAATTGGAACAGTAAGGGCAAAGGGATTCATAGTACAGATCCAGAGAAACCTTTTCAGAGACAGAATAAATGGGAGACGTCGAGGAGAACAGGAGGAAAGAAACGAGGGAAAGAATTATGGTCTTCTGATGAGGGGCCGCCATATGAGATGCCGATTGTGTGCAGCTTCTTCAGGTTCACTGTTGCCCAGCAGCCCGAAGGAGTCTGGGGTATATGGTCACGTTTCAAGAGATGATGAGGCGGCATGAAAGAAAGATCAACTAGTTGCCCCGGTATCTTTTAGAATATTTGATGTGTTTTCGTCCAGGTGCATTTCTCGTTAAAATCTACTGAGTACTTAAGGCTCTGTTTCAACTGCTTGTGCTTAAATAAAAGCACTTTTGGGGAAAAAGTGATTAGTAGTAAAAGTTGGTAGTGTTTGGTAAAATAAGTGCTTTTTGTGTAATAGAAAAAGTAAAAAGTAGATTCTACACGAAAATCGGGGAAGTAAAAGTTGGTAGTGTTTGGAAAAATAAATGCTTTTTTCTTTAAAAAAAGCCAAAATCACTTTTTTTAATTGGATCTGATTCTCAAAACTGATTCTGCTCCTTCAAGGAGCAGAAGCAGAAGATGGAGTGTTTGGGTGAAATTTCAGAAACACTTATGGTGCTCTAATTTACTCTCAGAATCAGTTTTTTAGAAGCTAGGGGGTACCAGCTTCTGAAAACTGATTCTGCTTCTGCTTTAAAAAAGAAGCAGAAGCAGAATCAATTTCAAACACCCCCTAAGTAAACCTTTCAAGTACTCCCTTCGTCCCTAAATAAACTTCCAACTTTCCTTTTTAGTACTTCATTCGTCCCCTTTTAAATGTCCCATTTTACGAAATTGGGATGTCCCTATTTAATTGTCTCATACCTTATTTGGTAAAGTTTGTGCGGCTCAAAATCATTCTTACTTTATTATTACTTTATCAATTAATATCAATAACACAAACTCACTTTTCTTAAAACTCGTGTCACCCTCTTCCGGGACATTTAAAAGGGGACGGAGGGAGTATGTCTCAATTAAAACTTACACTTTCCCTTTTTCGTAAAGAATTTGTGGTTGACAACATTTCTTACACATTTCTCTCTATTCTGCACAACTCTCCAAGTTTTTGCAAGTTTTTTTTGTTTTTTTTCTGTTTTTTTTTTTGCAAGTGATATAATCTTAAGGCAGTGTAAATTATTTAATTACATTCCAAATTTAATCAGATCATTAAAGTGTTGAAGTATCAAAAAAGGAAAGAAGTTAAATACAAAGTAATTGATATTGATTTCAAATACTACATTGTGTGTGCTCTCAAAACAACAACTTTCCATGTTTGAGAATACATGAAAATATTACTCCGTAATTAGAGGTACAAATGATACATGGTTAGGAATAATACATTCCTTTCGCTAGGAATTTGTTCATACGGATTAAAAAAATATCAATAAAAAAAAATATTCTATAAAAGAATACAACAAATTTAAATGTATAGCCAATTAAGCTTACTTATCGGTCTCAATTAGTTGAAACAACGACAAAAAAATGCATAATAATAAAAATTAGCAGTGTTCAACAAAAAATGATTTCAAAAATTAAAAGTTGATGTGTTTGGTAAAATATTTGTTTTTGTGTAATAGAGAAAGTAAAAAAAAAATAGTTGTTAGATTTTATCTTTTAAGTGTTTAATTTAAGCAAAAGTTGTCACTTAAAAATAATTTTTTTCATTTTTTAAAGGTAAAAGCTAAAAATCATTTTTTAATCTTCTACAAACATACCTAAACCATGACAAATAAAAAAACATAAGTCACGTTAAAAACATGACTACATGTATTAAAATACCAAGTTAGATACTCCGTATATAATACTATCGTACTAACCCAAATTCAATATCATGAACAACTTGGAGAAAAGCACATTACTGCGATTGAGAGTGACGGAATAAGCATATGAGCACAATGAAGCTTAGAGTTCCTTATGAAGGTATGTCACTCCACATTTTTGTACTTCTCATTTGTATAGTTATAATATTTCTTAATACTTTATCCGGCTAAAAAAAGTTTGTCAAAATTGATATTTCTTAGTTGATGATAGTCAATTTTAACCGATTATATATCTTAATACGAAATTATTTTGAATATGAAAATTATATTAAAGTGTTGCTTATTAAATATATTTTCATAAAAGTATTTAATTTATAAATTACATACAAATATAATGATTAAAATCATTATTCAAAGTTTGTCATCATTTAAAAGGAAAAGTTAGCATGACCAACCTTTCAGGGATGGATGTAGTAAAAATCATTATCTATGTAGTGTTACTTTTTAACTAAATACACTTCTCATTTAGTAGAGTGGGAATCATATGTCTTATTTGATAATACGATCCAACTTTATGGCGGTGTTAGAGCTTTGAATGAATTTTAATCCAAAAAGATGAAAATTAGTGCGTCTCTGGGTACAATGTTATACGATGTGTTAATGTGTCAAGATAAGGACGGTGGGTAACATTTTCCTTTTTTGCAAAATTATAAAATCTTGAGTTCAATAATCTGATTTGTATTAAACCAATACCGGTATTTTTATCATTCTCTTATTCTATCATTGTGTTACAACTGTTACATCTAATTTTGATTTACTATGATTCTTTTCCTTTTTTTATCAATACTTCAACGTAATCCATATGTTTTCATACATTTCAGGCTCACCTCAAAATAGTGTATTAAAACGGACAACGATAAATTCATACATGATGTGCCAATCTATACTAATCAATATATATATAGATTAAGGATCATGTACAAACTAATCCTAATTTACAAAGTGCAAACCAATCCTGACCATCCATATGAATGAGATGAATGGTGTGGATGAGAAAACTCCCCACTAATATGGTTGGGGTTAAAAAACGTATGTATTGGATAGGAGTAAAAAAACTCCCCCTATTACTACGGCTGATTTTTAGGGATGTAAACAAATCTTAACCGATTTTATAAAATTGGACGGATGAGATGATTTTGCATTTTGTATGGGAAACATACTTTGTATCTGATCTTAACTATATATATATATATATATATATATATATATATATATATATATATATATATATATAAGAGGAACTTTTAAGAGCATACAAAGCGCCACATAATCCTGCCATGTCAGTATATATAACAATTATTTAGTTATCTTTATACCTTTCGTTAAACAAGATTTCTATGGTCTTTTTAATAATCCAAGGTCCGGCCATGTCTTTTTTGTTAAACAAGATCGCCTAACCTTGATTACCAAAAAGTTACGAGATTCTATTTTTGATCGCCTGACATTTTTTTTATCATCAAAATGGCCGGGCCTCTATTCTTATCAAAAGATTCAGGATCATTACATCTAGCAAAGGGAAAATAAAAGTGACATCAACTAAAACTCCAACAACCACGACTGTAACCATATGGTGAGACTTTGAGACGGTCACCCCTGAAAGAGCAACACGAATCGCTAACCATGTAGTGGGCTTGACACAGCCAAACTTGTTCCCATAGATCCAACCATACTCAATGACATAAAAAGAGACTAAAACTCAAACAAATTGTCAAAAGAAACAACAAAGATGAACACAAGAAAACAAATCACAAACAGATAAAATTACTAGGAAAACTTTCACGGACTCTAGCACCTCGTACAACCCATGGTGGTGGTTCAGGCGGAGGTCGGACCGTCGCTTGATTGATACCCTCTTTCTGTGACGTACCCGCCATAAGACTTAAATCCATGCCATCGAATGGAGTGTTCAACCTCTCCACGCTAACCATGTCTCGATCATCCCTACGTCTCTCTCTCTCTCTCTCTCTCTCTCTCTCTCTCTCTCTCTCTCTCTCTCTCTCTCTCTCTCTCTCTCTCTCTCGCTTCTTCCACCATCTTCTCACTGCCACGATCATCCATCCCGAGCTACGTCCGAACCACGGCAATCCGGTGCAGAGCTGCGACGATCGAAAGAAAAACGCCGCACCAGGGTGGCGAAGAAAAACCCTACGCGAGAGATCTCGCCAGGCAAACACTGACCGAACTTCGATCAAGAAAGATCGAAACTGGAATTACCTAGTGGCGGCTTTTCCCTAGGAGCTCGTTCGGCGCTTCAGAAAGTTGTATCCTTGATTGCCTAACATTATATTAAATATGCCTTCACTTTTGAAATACATTCGTAATCCAAATTAGGAATTCTTTATATGTTTACGAAATCCTAATTTTATTCAATATAATGTTTGTAATTGGATTGATTTCAGTTCCAGACTAAATCGGAGCAAAACAAACTTTAATATTAGTAATATTAAGTCACATAAAATGTAAAACAGACATGTACCAGATCATATTAATTAAAACCAAATCAAACCCGAAATTTTAAATCAATTAAAAATGTCCTTATTAATGAGTAAAATGTAAGATCTCACAATTAAAATTTAAGAATGTGTATTTCATACCAAGTTGAATGAGAAATATTAGAAAAGTATTATTTTGAAATGCTCAATAAAGTAATTTAGACATTCATAACATTTAAAAATCGTTTTCAATGTAACAAAATAATGAGTCAATTTTTTTAAAAAAAAAAACCATTTTTTACATGTATAATGTGACGAAATACGGAGTAATGGGTAAAATGTAACATCATATTATTAAAAGTTAAAAGTACGTACTCAATATTTCATATCAAGTTGAATGAGGAATATTAGAAGAAAAACTTGAGGTGCAAAATAAAGTAATTTAGAGGGCGTGATATTATGATTTTTTTAAGATCATGCGGGTTCATAACAATAATGTTTACTTGAGATGATTATGTAGAAGATCATTTTAACTATTTTTCATATAATTGTATCTTTTTTTTTACAAATGGGATATATTTTGCATATTTTTTCATGATTCAAGAGATTCTACCTATTCAGCCCATTCAACCAAAATTTAATCAATTTCAGTAAAATAAGCTAATTTGACTGATTTTAATATTATCAAACAGACTATATATTAAATTGTGTTTGTTTTGCTTTTGCATCACATTATATATGATCCCGAAAAAATCAAATTTAAATTTACATAAATTATATACTGCCCGTGTGTTGGTAGAAAATATCCCGGGTAGAGAAACTAGCAGCATTTCAGTATAGTAAAAATAGCTTAGAGAATACATGGGGGTGATGGCCTATTTATAGGCATCCACCACAAGTCCAAAGTCTAACCTATGTGGACTTGGCCCAAATACCATAATACATGTCCCAGCTAATGGGCGAACCGGCCCGATAATAAATAAATGAGCAAGGGCGATTCCCGCTTGTGAGACTGCGTCTTGGGCCTAGATGGACCAAAGCTCGAAGATAACGGGCCGATGGCACTGGGCTGGCATATTATCCCAACACGAGTCCCCCACTCCCTTAGTCGAGTTGTAGACTCGACTAAAAGGGAGTAGTTGAGCTGCTCTGAAATTGGCCCGGTTGCCAAGCTAGCTAGCTAGTTACACAGATGATTGGTGATGATGATGATCTGCAGTGTGCCTGGAAAGGTTAGTCATGTAACCGTCCGCTGTGATCCCATAGTGTTGCGCAAGGATGAGACCCTCCTTGTCTTGGTAGCGTCTCGGGGTCCTGGTTATTTCGCCAGCTGCCCGGGTCTTCTTTGCTCCAACCGGGAAGACCTCTTCCTTTGTTCATGATGAGGGGATGCCTCGTTAAAACCTTACTAGGAAAAAAACCTGATGGGAAAAAATCCTAGTGAAGAAAAAAGAGTACACCGGTACCTCAAAATAAAATAGAGGAAGGTCAGTCTCATCGGTTCTTGATTGAGCGTCTGCTTTACTGGTAAGCCGAGATATGTTCCGGGAAGGCCAGTCGCTCATTTGTTTTCCAGTGGTGGCGGTCGAGCCAATGTATGCTCGGGAGAGACCACCCGCATAACTGTTTGTCCATGATGCTGAGCCGAGGTATGCTCGGGAGAGGGTTGTTGCATAACTATGCACATTGATCCCCGCTGCTTGTGAGAGGATATGGTTTCTTTCGCCTGGGTAGCAGTTTTAGGTCTTGTTTATCCGATTAGCCTCCTAAGGTCTTGTTCTTCCGATCAACAGCCTGGGTCTTGTTTGTCCGATTAGCAGCCCAGGGTCTTGTTTCGGTTGAGAGATCTCTTCTTTGAATGTACCCAAAATAGAGCTAAAGGGTAAGCTCTTAGGCCATTGTGTGCAGCTGCAATGGTCGCCATCCGCCGAGGGGATAACAAAGACCGGTCTTCACTTGTGAGCAATGCTCGTCTGATGTTCTCGAGATAGATGCAGTGAGTAGTCCGCCATGATAAGTAGTCCCTGTTGATCGCTATTATTACCTGTTAGAGACATGGCAGGTAAAAGAGGTGCTCTCGCTACTTTAGCTGCAGTGCAAGATACTAAGTTTTGGCCTTCAAAGTCAGATGAAGGTCTGTCTCAGGCAAGGAAGAAGCCCGGAGCTTCTCCGCCTGGTGCTGGGGAAAATTGAGAAGCTTCCCTGCTCTACGAACAGCGACTTTCCAAGAAGAGCGAATGTATAAAGTGCTCCTAAGGTCGGGTAAGGGGAGATAACCCAACCGGCAGAATCCTCGCTTACTCTGTTCGTTTCCTCATAGGTATGGCTGGTTGGAGAAGCGCATTTGCTGTCCTGACCTGACCTTCATTTCCTCATAGTTATGGTAGGTCGGAGAAGTGCACTTGCTGCCCTGACCTTCGTTTCCTCGTAGGTATGGATGGTCGGAGAAGCGCATTTGCTGCCTTGGATGCGATGAAAGATGCTAAGTCTCGATCTTTGACATCCAATGCAAGTCCATCTAATGTCGGGGAGAAGCACACAAGTTCTCCACATAATGTCGGGGAGAGGCACGCACCTTCCCTGCTTGATGCTGGGGGATGCTAAGAGTTCCTCCGCCTGATGTCCGTGAGATGCCCAGCTTCTTTGCATGATGTCGGGAAGATTCTCAGCTTCTCTACATGAAGTCGGGGAGAAGCATGCACCTTCCCTGCCTAATGTCGGGAGATGTTAAGAGCTTCTCTAACTGATGCTGGGGAGAAGCAAATACTTTCCCTGTCTGCACCATTTCACTTGGAAGAGTAAAGGCACGAAGACGATCATCAGCAGAGGGTCAGGACCAGACCAACAGAAGTCTGGATTGCCCTGCATCCTAGCCAAAGCATGAAAGTTATCTACAAAAGTCTGCCATTTGCTGAAGGAGTGGTTGGGATCAGGCTTGTGATGAAGAAATAGTCGTCATCCTTAAGGACGACGGGTTAGCCTGATTGTAGAGTCAGGACTATGACATTTATTGCGGTCGTGATGAATCTGAAGCAGCGGTCATCATCCATGTAAAGGAGAATGCGACCGATCTTGAAATGAGAATGATGCCCTTGAGCCGATCCTGACGAGGACGGCAAATTGTAGGTCGATTGTGAATCCAAAACAACGATCATCATCCAAGTGAAGGAGGATCTGATTGTTCTTGAGACGGGAATGACGGTGTTGACTCGGTTCTGACGTAGATGACGACTCATTGCCAGGAAGAGCAAGGGTATGAACTGCTTCTCAGGTCGGGTTAGGGAAGGCAATCCTACCCGTATAGCTCCAGCTTACTTCGCTTGTTTTCTTGCAGGTACAGCCGGTCGGGAGAATCACGCAGCTTCCCTTCCCGATGCCAGGGAGAAGCATGTAGCTCCCCTGCCTCACAAAGTGCCACCTACTGGGATGAGCAAAGGTATACGCTGCTCTTAAGACGGGAAAGAGGCATAATCCGGTTAGTGGGTTCCAGGCTCACTTCGTTCATTTCCTTGCAGATACAGTGGGTCGAAGAAGTGAACTTGCTAACCTGGCAACGAAGAAAGATGCTAAATCTCGTCCCCTGATATCTCACTCAGGTTCCGATGGTGCTAAGGAGAATCGCAATTCCTCCCCCTCTAGTGAGGAGCCACTTGCTTAGAGGAGCGAAAGTGTCGTATGCTTCTTAGGGTAGGTAAGGGAAATAACCCTACTTGTTGGATCCCTACTCACCTCATTCGTTTCTTTGCAGATGTGCCAGGTCGGAGAAGCGAACTTGCTGCCTTGGCTGCAAAGAGAGATGCTAAGCCATGTTCCCTGTCATCAGATCTTTTTTCTCTGCAGGGACTGATGTATCTGGCCGCATTGCTCCGTGCTATGAAAGATCAGCGTATGGAGCTCCAGCGTCAGGCTGATGGAGCCCATCTGCAGGCTACCCAAGCTCGGCAGCATGCGGATGGAGCTCAGGCAGCCCTGAGGATACTTGTTGCATGCAATGAACATGATAAGAGAGCCCTGATCGATCTCCAATCAAAGTGTGACTAGCTAAAGTCCGAGTATAACCAACTAAAGGCGTCGTTTGCGGATGCAGCGCAACAAGCAATTGCGGCGTTCAAAGGTTCTCAGGAGTTCTCCGAGCTTCTTTCTTCCCGGACTAAGGATGTGGGGCAGCAAGCAATTGTAACGTTCAAAGCTTCCCAAGCATTCACGAAGCCCGTTTCTTCCCAGACATATGCTCTCCGCGCAGAGCAAGTTCGTGATTGGCTTCAGACCAAGGAGGATTGCAATTGGCACAAATAAATGTCTTGTTCTCTTTTAGTTGTGGCTGGCATGATATGCAGACTAGCCGTGATGAGGCGGAGAAGATGGGCAATGTTGATCTCGGACTTGTTCTCCGTGATTGATTTATCACTTGAGCTTGTATGTATGCATCATTCGCTCTTTCAATTTTCTTAGTCGTTTTTCATTCAAGAATACTTGGACAACTTATCGGGGATCTGGCTCCCCACATAGGCCGCGAGGGGCAGAAAGTTGACAAGGTCAACCTTGACCGTGCCCTGCTAGGTAAGGCGGGGCTGACCCGCACACTGTCGGTGTAGGACCAACGAGTTGTGCAAGCTGTTTGGCCAGCCATTGGACAACGGATGTACGAGAGGGGCTCGGGCCACGACCTCTCGCATACCTTCGACCCGGAGGTCGTTCTTACACCACCTTGACTTGTATAGCTAGTTTCATACTTAGGAAATATTTTGGTTCTTCCCTTTCTGAAAGTCGATCTGAAGTCGGCCAAACGTAAGGGCAAGGCCCTGCATGATCAGACCAGAACGGACCCGCACCATTGATCCTGTCAAGTGCGTATGCGGGCTGCTAAGCCTACCAACGTCAGACAACGGATATACGAAAGGGGCTCGGAGCACGACCTTTTGCATTCCTTCGGTCCGAAGACCGGTCATATAGTTGTTGCATTGTTGATTGGATCATACATGCATGTGAGCGGTTTAGACAGCAATGCTAGACAACGGATGTACGAGAGGGGCTCGGGGCGCGACCTCTCGCATACCTTTTCGACCCGGAAGCCGGTCCTACAATTGCCCTGACCGAGCAGCTAACCCCGGACTTAGAAAGTAGTATGATCATTTCCTTACCCGAGAGTCGAGCCGTGGTCGACTAAACACCGAGAGCGGGGCGTGATATATATATACCCTTTTTTTTCTTCGTTTTCTTTTCCTTTTTTTTTTGTTTTTTTTTCTTTCTTTTTTTTGAGCCGTCACCCGTTTAATCCAAGTGAGGTCGGACCTCATTAAATTCCAGACTGGAAAATGATTTTTTTAAGTGATGAAAGAATCTGAGAAGTTGAGGAGTTGCTCCGGTTCTGCACTTGATCTACAATTTGTGATGATTGATTCATAGAATGTGTGAGAGCTAATCCCCAATCACTTCATCAACAGGCTTACAGTTCTGCGCTCTTAGGATTAGAGAGGTTTCTCGGCGCTCCGCACTTGACCTACAAGCTTGGGATGCTCCATACAAGGAGAAAGAGGAGTCCAGACCCCCATAGGCCGCGGTCATCCCCTCCAACCGGTCCTGCTGCTTTCCGAATCTACAGGATGGGAAGAGTGAGACTGGGATCCTGGGCTACAGGTCGGAGGTCGCGAGGTGTCTCAGCCGTCCGTGTCCAATCCTGGCTAATCGTTGCTCTGTCGGAGAAGGAGCTGCGAACAGAGGTCCATTACAAATGAAACTTGCTATCTATCTTTGATTCGAGAACATCATCAACCTGGAAAAGCGGGCAAAAGGCAATGCCAAATGTTTATTCACTTAGCAAAATGGAAATAGCGGATTATCTCAAGACATAACAAATATAGTCACCAAGCACTTGTATTACATCATTGGATGCTGCCATAAGATTATGAGAGTAGTGATACAATTATAACAAGGTTCAGTTCATAGCAGAAAAAGAGTTCTTAATAGTTAGTTCCAAACTTGAAAAAAAAATAGTTAGCTCCAAACAAGAAGCCATTTTTTGCCTCTTAAATAAAGATAAAGTCAAAGTTTAGTTTCAGTTGTTGAAGTAAAACAAAATATGTTTAAAGTGCCGTCAATTGACTAATACTACTTTACCAATCCATCACTTTTTCTTGAATCCAAAAAATACTCAAATACACAACAAATCATTCTTATGTACACTAATCTAGCATATCAGTTATCATAGAGTTAATAGTCATTGCATAATGAAGGCACAAAGTACATCCTAAGAAATTAAATTATTATTGAATAACTAATGCTGAAACATCATAAAGTAGGAAGAAAGAAATTTCCAGAAAACCCTAATACTAGTTGTTTCAAATGACGATGCAGATAAAACTTCGTATATACAGGGTAATCTTGAGAGATATTATATACCTACGATAGAGAATTCAAATCATGTAAATCAGCTCTCTGATCAAGTTCTGAATTATCGTTGCGGTAAGGGATCGATCAATCCGAGAAACTATGTCGCAACCTGTGAACTCAAAGCTTTGATCGCAACTTGTCGAAGCTGAGATACGACCCCTCTTTCTCCAAATGTTGTGTCATCCATTCTAGCGATAACAGTTTCGGAGATATCGTGAGGTGGATAATAACTCCAATGCACTCAAATACTCTAGAATCTAGATTATAAGATGCAGATGTATAGGCGAGATCAGAAGCAAGACGGAAGTCAGGGAATCCGAAAGGATGGAGGCCGGAGGTTAATATGGACTCTGTATGTATGTCTAGACGCAGGTAGGAGGATGGGGTCTAAAACTGAAATAAAAATCCACAATTGAAAATAGAAAAGAAATTTATGAAAAGAGAAAATGATACGGACATAATTGAAATACAATGTATAAAAGTGGACTACGCGGGTAATTTGCACTAAATAAATGAGCAAGGGGGGATTCCCATCGTGAGACTGCGTCTTGGGCCTAGTTGGGACAAAGCTCGGGGATAACGGGCCGATGGCACTGGGCCTGGCATATTATCCCAACACCGTGCATCGCACATGCTTGAAAACTAGTGTAGATGATTTGTGTATGTTTTTACTGCAACATACTATCTCAAGTATAATTATAACCTACCTTCTTACATTGCAGACCCACATAGAAGTGGTTTCCCATCATTGGAAGAAACTTCAAGGTTGCATGACGTGCATATCCACAAATCCTGGTACATGCATTATTTCTAGAAATTACTATTTTGATTATTTAAATTTCATAGACTGCACCAAAAAATGGATAAACAATGTATGTTTCAGAGTTGTTCTCGTCCAGTGTGTCTTATGATCAAAGCTCTGTCGTTAATGTTTTAGTCATTTCAGGTATGTGTTTTTCCTTATCTTTAATTTATGTTCCCGTCAGGTGTGTTTCCTAGAATGACTAGGAAACAACAAACTGAAGAGTTTATTAAGTAGGTTCTTAAGATCAGGGATGGCAACATTGGAGTTGAAAAAGTGGTGTTCAAGAAGTGGAGATCCCAGATGATTTGCTCCTAAAGGTAAAAGATAACCACATTAATAGATTAAATGTTCCTGCATATCTTCAAGCTAAGAAAGAGCGATACTTGCACCTACATCAGACATTGTCAATGACATAAATGATTACATGCTCTCATTGATCCCTGGCGATGAAGTTACACACTTCAGTTCAGATAGTATAATCCCATCGCGCATAGATCCCTTCCATGCAAATATGTACACAACTGAGTTTCTTAATAGCATATCAATGTCTTGATCGATTGCCTAATCATGTAGTGCATTTAAAAATAGGAGAACAAATAATGTTATTGATAAATATTGATCAGGCAGCAGGATTATGCAATGAAACAAAGTTGGTCGTAACCAAACTGGGAAAGCACATGTTGGAAGCCAAAGTGATAACAAGAAAAGCTATGGGAGATAAGGTTTACATTCCTAGAATTCCATTGTCAGATACGACAATGTCATTCAATTTTCAGAGGAAGCAATTCCCCGTGATGATATGCTTTGTGATGACAATAAATAAAAGTCAAGGTCAAACGTTAACACATGTAGGTTTATACCTTAAGCGACACAATTTCTGTGACACCGCACCCGAACGTCCTTGAAAATTCCATTCTTAAATTCAAAGTGATGTATTGAATTTCCGATTTCAAAACAATGGAAAAACGATTAATATTTTACGTAGTACATGATTGAATATTGTATTGTTCAAACCCGTATTCTTTTATAATTTTCATCATGTAAATTATTGAGATGAGCCTACACATATTGGAGATCAATAATGTGATGTAGGAAGTTGACTTGTTCTAAATAAGTTAGGATGAGTACAAAAAGACATCTTTGACAAAAGATAAAACAATAGAACCCATCTTCCCATTTTTGGAAGTATTGATAGATATTTTGGACCCCAAAATAATTGGGATCAATGGGGAACCACTCCACATGATATTAGTACCTGAAAGACAAATAAAAATGAGTGAGAAGACTTACCTTGGCCGACCACCATGGAGAGGAGCTGCACAAGACTTGATAGGAATCAAATGTTGGGCCACCATCTCTATTTTTCGCACAAAATGGTGTGCTGTTTGTCTCCACTCATTATGGGAGTTATACTCGACCAAACAACGTGTATAAGGTGTCCTTGGATAGCCCTTGAAGTCTATTTTCACAATTGAGTGGTCTCTGTTCGATAGGAGAGAGTAATCATCCACAAATCGATCTGGAGCGAGCAGTGGTCTGTAAACTCGAGCTCTGAGAGTGCTGAAGCTGTTTGGTGGATATCTCGAGTTATACCAATCCAATTAAGGCGCGTGAGATACCAAAAGAAAGCTCTCAAGACGAGGAATCCGTGAAGGTCTGGTTTGCATCAATCGGAGTAGTGGAAGGCTTCCAAATCGTCCGAGAAAAACACAACCTCGCAGAAACAGATCTACTTTTCTAAAGTGAGTTGTTAACCCCAAAACCTTTCCTTTCATTTTCCAAATGATATGAACGATTGGTGGAACTATTGTACACTAATCCAAGTGTATAATATGTCCTTATAAAGTTATTTTATTGATGTAAAGGTTAGATACTAACCTAGAGAAAATCTTGGAAAACTAGGAAGCGAGTTAACCGGAAAACACCCATTCTAGGGGCTGTTTTCGTATCAACGATTAAGGGTTGAACTAGCACTTTGAGGAGGCTGTTTAACACTCATATTTGAGCAAGGAATTAGTTCCAAATCCACTTTGACCAAAGCTTTGACCATTGGACCAAGAAGGGAAAGTTTAAAGCTCAATTGAGGTGAGGATTGACATCTAATTGCTTACAACTTGTAGGTTAAGCATGAGATTACCTAAATGCTTAAATCATTATTTTTCATGGATTATGATGATTATATATTGATGAAATATTGATATAGTTGCCAAAGAATGAAATTTGAAATGATTTGAGAATGTATGAATAATATGAGATTAAATGAGTATAAATGAACTATTTTGTGAAATAGGCATTTTGCCCATGTATGAATTATGTGGATACATAAATGGATATTTGTGTATTGAGGTTGAATACTTAAGTTGCTGCTACATAATTATAAATATGTAGAGAATTACAAATAATGAGGATAATGGTATGATAACAATAATCTTAATAGTATTGAAATACTAGTTAGTGATTGTTGGAACTTGTTGATTAAATTGATCCTAGGGATTGGATTGTATGAAAGGTACTTGAATATAGTTCAAGTGTATATAATGACTTAATATGGAACTAAGGTTAAGTTATGGGAGGTCTTTAAGGATGACCCATGGTAGTTTAATGATATGTCAATTCTAGGCATAGGGTTGCTTGAGAATTGGACCTTAATGCATGGTGATGTGATAGAGCCGAGCTCTAGAATGCATGTAAGGTGTAGACTTGGATTCTATGTATTGTATAGCTAGAGCCGAGCTCTAGGGCTTGCGTGGTGATGTGATAGAGCCGAGCTCTAGAACGCAAGGTAAGGAAATTGACCCGAGTGACATGAATTGTATGGTGATGTGGTAGAGCCGAGCTCTAGAATACAATGTCATGTGTTAGGGTTGGACTCTATTGAGTTGTCGGGGTTTGTAGCCACGGGGAATGGGAATGGCGTTTTCTAAATGAACATGGGCCCACGGGCCGACTACTTGACTTTTACATAAAGTAAGTATATTTTCAAATGGGTAACTTAGGGTTACAAATCATAATATACTATCACCCTATTTGAGGGTCTTGTGTTTAAAATACTTGTTGTATATCTATTAGATGCCTGCCACACCAGTACTTTATAGTCGTATAGTACTGACCCCTTCGGGGGCGTCCCACCACCATTTCAGGTTGAGGCTAGAGCTTGCTTCCTGTGCTCGTTGCCCGAGTGATTTCCCCGGAGAGAAGACTTGGTTCGTGCTTCCTCCATCCTGTTTTAGAACATTAATAAACATGCTCATGGATATTCTACTTTGGAGCCTGCGTGCTCATGTTTGCCCTGTGTGGCCCTTTTGTTTTAAACAATGTTTTCCGCTGCGTATTGAATTGTTTATTATGTATGTTTATGGATGACTTATGTGTGAATGATATTCATGACGCCTTGTAGAATATGAATGTGTTGGACTGCGGTTGACTATTCGTATTGTACGGCGGGTTGTTGACGTGTCCGGGGAGGTCCGGGGCGTGACATTTTCACTCATGGTCAATTGTATGTGGCAATATTAAGGGTAAGGAGCAGAGATTGTCTGAAGATATTCATTCAAAAGAAAAAAGGTTCTCCACAAAGACAGTAATGTTACTTATAAAGAGTTTTTTCAAAACCTAAAAATGTGATATTTTGTGTGTACGGTGTTACACAATTCACGCGTTTTGTACAATGTCATTTTTATTGCTTCTTTTTAATTAAAAGACTTATTCATATTGCTTCTATATATATTACAACAGTTCTAAAAACCTCAATATGCACCTGGGGCAACGCCCGGGTAAAGCATTAGTTGATTGAATTGTTTGATTCTGATCAATTTTATGAAGTTTTGATAGAAATGACTGTATTGACTTATTTTGCTGATTTACGAATAAATTATACTTCCTCCATCCCCGAAAGATTGTCCTACTTTGACTTACTCTAACCGAACTAATTTACAAATAAATTATACTCCTCCGTCACAAACTAAATTCTTAGCTCACCCCTTTAGTTCACATATAGACAAGTATATCCTTTAATATGGGATACAGGCATACGGCTAATCCATTATTTACATTATACTCTGTATCTAATTTTCATTGAGCAATACCATTCTTTTTTTTTGCTTTGAAAGGAAACTGAACGATTATATTAGAAATCAAGCATCATCGACATTACAAACTTCTCAATATTGGACAACCTCTTGCTACCAAACTCACTAGAACCCGGAAGTCCCCTCACCCTCTGATTAGACATAGAAACGACCACCCTAGATAGAACGGATCGAGTCGCTAACCCATTGAGATATTTGAAGATTATCTCGACTTTTGAAGTCATCATACTCCTTAACATAAAATACCTTCCCGCTTCATAAGCATAACACACCCAAACAACTAAGATTCCAAAATATAAAACAATCCGGAAGATAACAATGTTAAAATGCAAACTTAAACGAGCCTATTACTACTTGCCAGGCTCCATTATTCTTGATCCCTTATATCTGAGACCTTCCACAGATAGCCAGAATTTCCAACTCGTGTGCTCCATGGAGGTGGTTCAGGAGGAGGTCGGACCAACGTACCCGAACACAATTTTTCTGAAGTGATGCTCCAATGAAGTGCTAGCCTCCCATCTTGCCGCACCCCAAGCTATGACTTTCGTTAGCATAACTGCATCTTCCTCATCCATCTCCATGCTGTCAAACATCTGAGTTAGCCGCTTCACCTCGAATCAGTCCTGGATCGCCGTTATCATCTTCCCTCAAAGTGAGCGGAGTAAAATTAGCCAGGTTGCCGCACCACAGGTCCGCTGCTCAGACCAAATTCGGAGCTCCTACTCCTAATTGAAGATATATGAATCGAGATAATCATGAAATGGCAGAGGTCGATCCCGTCCAAAAATCCCCAGGTTAACGAATCGACTCGCTTGATATGAAGCCTTCATTTTCCTCTCGTCCAAATAACCATGCAACCTTAGTGCGATGACCTTCGCCAGCCCCCGCTGATTTGGAACCGTGCCTGAGACCAGAATCCACGCCGCCGGAAGAAACCATACGCCGTCGTTCTCCAAACTTGCCCTAGACACGCTAGGTTGTCCGCTCTATCCCTATAACATTATGATTCATTTTTCTGGTTTCTTTCATCTAATTTTCTTATTTCACCACAGCATTTTGGGTTTATCGCTATGCTAAAAAACATTGCATAGTTATAAAAATTGTTGTCTTTGTTTTAGCAACAATTTGAAAATTGTGGCAATGTATGACGTCGCCTATACTTTTGGAAACAGTTTTTACATTTAAAGGCAACACACTAAGAAAATTGTACTCGTAGGGTATGGCATAAAGAACATTTTTTATAAGTGGATAAGACAACAGTTTTAAGTTGTTTTTTTCAACAGTATAAAAAACAAAAAGGTTGACATATATCATATACGTGAGATACTTTTTTAATTATTACCACTATGCAAATGGATATTAAAGAATGTAGCAATTCTTAAAATTTTACCTCTATGCATAAAAAAAATAGTTCATAATAATCACTCACGAATCATAATCCAACCAAGTTTTAATAAGAACTTAACTATGCAGTTACAAAAGATCAAGTCGCTCATGTTTTTAAACCAAGGATTGATCTCATTTTGCTATTTTCCTAGGGAAAACAAATACTTGATTAGATATTTTAACCTTGTGTGCTTTTCAATGAACATCATAATCTACCATACTATATGGTTCAGTCTACCAAAAGTGCATTCGCAAATGAGGGTGCTGCTTTCTTCCCTGTGGAACGATGCTTGTCAAATGCAAAGGGGGCATGTTTGTATTTCACCATGTGCATATGGTCTTTGAAGTCTAATATGGTCTTTAGAGTCTATAACAACACAATAGGGGTGTCTTAATTAATCTCCCATAACAAATCACTTAAAACTTCGTCAAAACACTTAAAATGACAACAAAAACGAAACAAACTTCATCAAATCACTCATAACCATCAATGTTCATGTCTTCATCTTCACTTTCTTCTTCGTCATCTTCACCATCATGGGAGGGTCGAAACAAACTTTATCTTCACATAAATATTTATTTAAATAGATCAAATGTAGAGGGTCACAACAACCATGCTTCAATACATTTTAAATACCCAGTCCACACAATTAGGGGCAATGTTCTCGAAATACAACTCTTCAAAATTCTTTTTTGACAAACTCGTATGCATGCTCAATCTCTTATTTTCGTGAGGAAATTGGCTTGTAATATTTTAACCACTTGCACACATTGTGTTTTACATACATACTTGAAATCAAGCACATATGAAACACCAATTTCTTTTTAATTAAAGGTTCATGTCAATAGCAATATAATTATTATTAATTAGCTAGTATAAACACTGCCTTGATTGGTTACTTTAAAGATGTATCATTCACGACAAATTAGCCTTTGTTTATTACAATGAATGCCTAAAGAAGATAAGGGTAGTATACAAACTGAACGTAATGGATTGATTACATAGGGATGCCTTGCATGTAATCCCTTTTCGAGTGAATAGTATTTACTTTTAGGGGATCTCGTAGGTAGTCTACACAATAACTATATACCACAACATGCCTATGTCCAAAGGTCCTACCCCTTTTGTTATGAGTAAAACCAAACAAAAAAGGCCTACCAGACAAAAAAAAAACAGACAAAAAACAACACTCTTCATATATTTCTATACACGCATTGTAAGACATGGAAAAGTTGTTCTTCATCTCCACCTATAATTTAATCAACATACTCTGATAATCCTTATTGATTATATTGGCAGAAACAATGTTTTTTAACATACTCATAGTAAAGAGCATTTGCACATCAAATAAATGAACTATGCGTGCAATGATACAATTCATACACACATATACACACATCATATGTGTTAATGTTTTTTACCACTTCTTACATAAAGTTATTTTACCAGAATTCAAGCACACCCAAAACCAAGTTGTGGAGACCATAACTGCAACGGTGCTCAAGAGTTAAAGAATCGTGATCTAGTGCAACTAGTTCTTCTTAGCAAAGGGGAGTTGGTATGGGTAGCAAGCAAGTCCCTTGGACTTGGATTCTTCCTCTTACCATAAAAGAAAAGAGAGTCTAGCAACTGTGCAAGTATATGAAAAAGTAAAATCTGATAGATGTTTCCAAGTCTGAAAAACAATGACTGAGGTGATGATGGTGGATGTATCGAGGTGATTCCTTCAGAGTGGCGTGCACTGAAAGTCCGCCTCTTCATTGTGGACTGGGCTCTCTAAATGGGCCTCATGTATCTGGTATCAACTTGGGCCGACAAACTGTCTAAGAGTAAGTTGGTCGTGGGTGCGAGCCCATATACTATATCACATTCCATCAGAGAAAAGATGCGAGAAAAAATGGTTGTGGGCCTATGTAATGCAAGTTTCCAAATCTAAAATCATTAGATGGTTTCAAAGAAAGCAAATTAAAAGACATTCAAGTGTTATGAGGTCCTTGTTGAGTAAAGCTCAGAAACTGAAAAGCTTATAATATTGTTTAATTCACAAAAACCCAGATTCCCTTCCTATAAGGCATGTTTTTCATGATTTTGAGAATCATTTACGCATGGATGAGAAGTGGGTTTACCTATCCAAAGAAACTACAGGGTTTTATAGTACTTTGTCAGCAGAAAATGATCCATACAAATCAATGCAGTCCAAAAATTCATTCCTAAATCACGTTCTTGCTGTGGTTGGTATGACTAGGCTGGGACAGAGTGGGGAAGTAGAGTGAGATGGTAACGTAGGTATATCCCCCTTCACTTATGAAGAAGCAGGCAAAAGATCAAGCAAAAATAGGCCTGTTGGTACGCTAGAGAGTAGAGACTAAACTAAACCAATCACAGGTGTGCCGAGAGCAACATTTAAAGATATGTTATTGAATACAGTTCTGCCAGTAGTCAAGGAGAAGTGGCCATATGCAGAAAACAAAAATTTCATGATTCAATAAGACAATGCTAGATCCCATATTCCAGTTGATGACACATACTTTTTAAGTGTGAGACAGACAATGGTTGGAACATCCAATTGATATGTCAACCCCAAAATAGTCTAAACTTGAATGCCCTGAACTTGGTCTTGTTTAGGGTATCGATTCAATAAAATATCAAAGGCCCCAAAAAGCATTGCACAATTAATTGAAGTTGTTCAAACTGCTTTCAATGTGCTCACACTGAGCACATTGAACAAGGTTTTTCTAAGCTATCAATGTGGAATGCAAAACAATGGAGGCAACAATTTCAAGTTGTAGCATATAGGAGAGAACTCTCTTAAAAGGCAAGGGTTGTTACCAAAAAATATCCAGGCCAGTGTAACATTATATGAATCAGTTAGGGCTTTTCTGAATGGACAAATGGCAACTGCCAACAATGCAGAGCAAACTAACGAGCAGTTCATAATGGAAAAGTAGGTAATTCTTCACATATGAACTGCTACAAATGTGGTTTCCATCACAATTTTTTCTTTGTTGGTGTTTGTAAACACAGTTAGTGTGTTACACTTTTTTCGTATGCAGATGTACACAACCAATGTACACATTATATACATATTGTTATGTGTACGAGGACAATTTTGTTGTAAACCAATATGCATTAAGACATGATAACTGTTTTCCAAATACAATGCACACCCACCCTCTTACAATTTTGAAACTGGGTTGCTACAATTACAATTACAAACATATGCAACATATTCATACATTCTAGTTGATCTCAATCCCAAAAATCATCATAAGTTTCAACCAACACTCAAACCCTATACATCATATCAGCCAAATGGTATCTCAATCCCCTAAATTCATGCTTCAACCGTAACACATGGCCCAGTTAATCAAACACATTATAAAACTAAGGACAAAGATAAAAGTGGAGGGTACTACCCTTAAAAGTGAATTGACAAACCATGGCTAGTGCAGACCTCCTCACAGTCCTCCACGCCTTTTAGCCCAACAGAAAAGTCAAACAACACCTTGTCTCCACAAATCTTCCTCCAAGCCCAACTTGGATCAGTTTTAGACTCACTGGAGTAACCGAAGTGAATACGTAGGGACATACGATTGAGCTTCGATGCATGTGACGTATCCGGTGAGACCAAATAAGAAACTAAATTACAAATCGAATACGTTTGCTCCTGGACATCTGGGATCGATGTTGCATGAAGTTGGGTGAGAAGATCCGAGTTCTTAATCGGACGGATAAGGGTGGGACTAGACTTCCTTTCCACGTACATGTCAGGGCACGAAGATGAGCTGGTTGCGATTGAGATACGAGGTAGGTATGGGTAACGGCGGAAGATAAATAGGGGTAGCAGCGGAAGAGAAGAATTAGGGGCTAACAGCGATGGAGATGAGGTAGAATGAGACGGAGCGATGGAGGAGATGCGTTATAGGACCAGTAGGGGAGAGACGGAGATAAGGTAGCGTGAGAAGGACAAAAGTGTAGAAGATATTAATGATGTAGGAAAGCCAACCGACGGAAGTGGGTAATGAAATGGCTGAATCATTTAATCGATTAATGGACAGAGAGGTATTAGAAGTAGGACATTTATTTAGGGACTTCCTTTTTGGGAAATTAGGACATTCTTTCGGGGACAGAGGGAGTATAACTGTTTCAGATGCATATTTTTTTAAAAATAACTATAGACTGAACCGTTAATAAAAAATAAGAATCGAATCACTAACAAGTAACTAATAAATGTTGAGACCGATCCAAACCAGATCATAACCATACGATGTGATTCAATTCTCCCATTTTTGGTTCCTAAGTCCAAAGTCCAGACCCTACTTTTAAAAAAATATAGTATTGCTTACTTCGGTTCAATTTAGAACCCTACTTTAGTTTTACATGGTCAAAATAGAGCATAAACAAAAGGCGTATAAACAAAATATTGCAGGCGTATAAACAAAATATTGCAGATATAAACGGTTCAATTTATATACCTTGTTGAAAAAAGCGCATCTATTTCTCTCTCAAGCAGAAGCCTTGTGAAAAACCCTAGCTGGATTACACCATGGCTGGTATGTATAGTCACGAAGGCGATGGCACGGCTCAGCCTCCCAGAGATAGCGGATATGGCGGTAGCGCCGGCGGTAGAGGTTATGGTGGTTCCGGGGCAGCAGGATACGGGTCCAATGGCCGCGGAGCATATCCTGGTTCTGCAGGTGGAGGATACGGATCTGGCGGCGGAGGAGAATATGGAAGTTCTGCAGGTGCAGGATACGGATCTGGCGGTGGAGGAGGCGGATACGGAGGAAGCGGTGGGGGTGGCGCATACGGAGGAAGCGGTGGGGGTGGCGCATACGGAGGAAGCGGTGGGGGTGGCGCATACGGAGGAAGCGGTGGGGGTGGTGGTCACGGAGGAAGCGGTGGGGGAGGTGGTTACGGAGGAAGCGGCGGGGGAGGTAGTTATGGAGGAAGTGGTGGAGGAGGGGGTGGGGGGTATGGTGGTAATCAGCAAAATCGAGGTACGATTTGATGCCTTGTTTTTTATTTTTATCTTACTGTTGACTTCCTTACACTTACTGATGAAGAAAATTTCATACAGGAGGTGGTGGATATCAAGGAGGAGATCGAGGTGGAGGTGGAAGAGGTGGAGGCGGTAGAGGAGGTGGAGGCTCTGGTGGAAGCGGTCGGGATGGTGATTGGCGGTGCCCTAACCCGAGGTAATAATTATTGTCTCATCGCAGATCTTAATTGTGATTCATATTCATTGCGTTCTCAATATTGTTTGAATCTTTATTCCATAGTCTACTTCATTGTTGAATTCATTTTAGTTTGGTTGTGAGCATCAATTGAAGTCCACTGCTCTTTCTGTCTGTAAGGAGAAATTTGTAGAACTGTTTCGATTCCTTATTTCTCTTTGTACAAGCCTTTCTTTATGTTTTTCCTAAGCAACATTGGCAACTTATACTAGTAATTTCTTGTTGGTGCTGAATGTTATTGTAAGTTACATTAACTATGGAATGGTATTAATCTCCGCATGTGTGGCTCTGTAGCTGTGGAAATTTGAACTTTGCTAGAAGAGTTGAATGTAACAAATGTGGTGAGCCTTCTCCTGCTGGTAATGATGATCGTGGTGGCAGAGGTGGTAACAGTTATAACCGAGGCGGTGGTGGTAATAATCGAGATGGAAGGGGTAGGTTTGATAGTGGAACTGGAGGAGGTGGTAGAAGCAGTGCTTATGGTGATAACCAGGGAAGAGATAGCAGTGGTTATGGTCAGGGTCCTCCTCCAGCCTATGATACCAGTTATGCTCCACCTCCAAGTGGTGGTTATGGTGGCAACAATAACTATTCTCCTGATGCAGTTCCTCCTCCTGCAAGTTATGGTGGTGGAACAACATCCTATCCTCCATCGTATGGTGCACCTGGTGGTTATGGTGGCAATGCTCCAGAAGATGCCCGAGGAGGGGGTAGGTCAGTTCCTCCTGCTAGACATGATGGTGGGTATAGCGGTGGTGGTGGGGGTTCCTATGGCACTTCTGATGACACTCCTCTAAAGGTCAAGCAATGTGATGAAAATTGTGGTGATTCTTGTGACAATGCAAGGATCTATATTTCAAATTTGCCCCCGGATGTGACCGTCGACGAACTTAGGGAACTTTTTGGAAGCATTGGACAAGTAATATGCGTATTTCCTTTGGTTATGATTCTGTATTTCTGATTTAACCCCTATGTATTGGTCAAATTGCGAGCCCTTGCACACCAAGTGTAATAACACTTCCAATGTTAACCATTTATGATACTTATACAGTTACATATACAGCTTAGCGTAGCAGGTGTCTTGTGGGTTTTTCTGCATGTTCATTGAGATCCAGGGAATTTTAGGACATAACTTAAATTTGTTATGTCTACATGTTTTCATTAGTGGTGCGCTTTTTAATATTGACATATATTCTCTGGGTTGAATTGTTTTTATCTTTTCACTAGGTTGCAAGAATTAAGCAAAAGCGGGGCTACAAGGATCAGTGGCCTTGGAGTATAAAACTATATACAGATGAGCAAGGAAACAATAAAGGAGATGCAGTTCTCTCTTATGAAGATCCTTCAGCAGCCCACTCTGCTGGTGGCTTCTATAACAGTACAGCCTCATACTGCACCTGTGAATTTCATTCTAAACTTTTCTTTACTTCTATTATTTACTAACACATGCTGTGTTTGGCAGACCACATAATGAGAGGTCACAAAATAAGTGTTGCCATGGCTGAGAAGTCTGCTCCAAAACCTGCACCTGCATACGGTAACAGGTGATTTCTTATACCACAACTCTTTATGTATTTTTAAAAAGGTGATTCAGATAATCCTGCCTTTATATATGAACTATGCTCACTTTTGAGATTCTTTAGTGAAACATCTTTCTTTCCTCAAATATGTGTCATTGTGTACCAAATGCCCATACAGTCAAGGTTTTAAAAAGCTAATATGATAATCTAGGCACTTCACCATAGGCTCATAAAGTGTAAGCCTTAAGTGATGTAGCACCCATGGTTTTAAAAGGCGTTTCGCTTTTACGCCCCTGAGGCGCAAAGGCGCAAAGGCGTCCCTGTAGCGCTTGTAAGGCTTAAGCATTACCTGCTGTTACTAAGGCCTACACATCTATTTTGATGAGGCGATGAAGCGTAGAGGCGAAGGCGGTGGGCGTTGAGGCGTAGTTGGTGCGTAAGCCTGAGATTCCACGGTTGGGCTGAGATTTTAAAAGTATGGGCTTCGTTTTTTTTTTAATTTTCCTCCTAACAACTAATATACGACCGTCGTTCAATACTCATTCTCCGCTTAGTCGACAAACTAGGTGTCCTCGTTGAGTCGTCTTCTTCAACTGCTCTGTCCACTCCAGGTAATTATCCCAGTACATAAGCCCACCACCGCTTTATTGCTTTTGTTTTTTATCGTGTTTTGACTTTTGATTTTTTTATTATTTAACTTCAAGTTTTGCACTACGCACTTTAGAATATTTGTACTACTACTCTCTACCAGGCTTTAGTCTTACGGTTCGAATCATTTAGCCTTCATATCTATTACTCTGTATTACTTATTAGTTTTTTCGTTCACACTTTAGAATTATCAATTTATCATTTACGGTTATCATTTACGAATTTGTCTTAACAATCTACATAGTATTAATTTACTTTATTAGAATCATTGGAGTTTTATAAATTCATTAAGATTGTTGTAATTTGGTTAATTACACTTTACATAAAATCGTGACTTTATTAAAGTTGATTATCAATTATTTTATTTATTTACCTATAGGCTATAGTTGATATTTTAGTGCTTTATGTTCTTTTGACTTTGGTATTTTAGAGTTTTATGTTATTGTTATTTCAACTTGGATATTTTATTGTTATTTTACTTGATTCTGTATGGCTGAACTATTATTATGAATTATCTTATACGAAATATGTTGTAGCAAACCTTTAACACGTAATTTTGAGGCTTACGCCTTGGTACCCCTCGAGGCTTACGCCTCGTGAGGCTACCACCAACCGCCTCAGGGCTCGATTTCGCCTTTCAAAACCTTGGTAGCACCTATTACCTAAGCCTCATATAAACAGTACCACCTTCTTCCCACTAACATTGGGAAATGAGGAGTTGGTACGGTTATTAAGAAAAATGAGTTTATGTGGTTGATATTGAAGTGATAAAGTAAGAATGAAGTAAGAATGATTTAGAACCAGCCAAGCATTTCAAAATTTAGTATGAGACAATCTTAGTGGGACGGATTGAAAAGAAAAAATGGAACAATCTTAGCAGGACAGAGGGGAGTATATACTTTACAAAAAATAATTCATTCAACAAGAGAACTAATAAGTGCTCATAAGTAAATAGGAGTTTGGTCAAGAATAATACTAACTTAAAGGAGTTGGACAAATATAAGACCTCTTTTATTAACTCCGATAAAAGAGACCATACACTAGTATTATTAAAAAAATTAGGAAGTAAATATCACAAATGCCCCTGCTGCCCTGCTGGTCAACTTACGTATCACTGCATCCCTTCAAGCCATTTCATTCTGCCGTGTCAATCATCAAATTTGCTGCTGGTTTAAGCACTGTCAGAGATTTGTTTTGACTTTTATAACCCTTCCCCGTTTATCATTTATCTGTTTACGATTTATAATTATTTGAAACATTTAGTTACAATTACCCGCCTGATCAATTATAGTTACCCAATTTGACTGATTATAGTTACCTGATTTGACCGTTACAATTACTCAACCTGATCAATTACACTTACCCGATCTGACCAGTTACAAATACTCGACCAAACAGTTACAGTTACTCGACCTGACCAATTACAGTTACCATATCCGACCAGTTACAATTACCCGTTCCGTCAATTATAGTTTCCCAACCGGTTAAAGTTACCCGAATCGACCAGTTACAACCCATTACAATTACCGTTATCTGACCAATCAGTTCTACATTTATCTGACCCGAGCCATTACAATTGCCCAATCCGAAAAACTCAATTCGATAGTGACCACCGCAACCACCGGCGGCAGCCACAACAGCTACTGATGGTAGCTCCGCCACCGCTGACAGCCACAACCTCCAGCAACCCGCCGCCTCACCTCTCTGACGGCCAGCCTCCCCAGCCCTCTTCCTGCCTCCCCCAGTGCCCTAGCCTCCCTCTCCAACTTCTCCACTCTACAGCCACCCCCCTACCCAATCCACCTTCCCATTCCGTGCACCACCACTGCCGCGCTACTCCCCAGCCCTGTCGCCGCCCCACTCCAGTCGCCACCCTTGCTCCCCTTCCCCAGCCTCCACCCAAATCGCCTACCCCAGCCGCCAGACCACCGCTAATAAACCCTAGCCACCACATCTCTTGCAAAAGTTGGCCAAAGAGAACGCGAGTAATTTTTGCTATAAGGGTATTTTTAGTCTTTTAACGGGATTTGAGTCTCTTTTTTTGTCTAAAAAGAGGTGCGGTCCCATTTTTGTCCACTTCAAACTTGCAAGTAGTATATCTGCAATTCTTTCACGTAAATGAGTCAGTATATCAATAATAAGGCTTGCACGGTACAATTCTGTAGTTGCAAAATATCAAATATTCAAATCAACTCTTCAACACAGAAACAAGGAAGGCCAGCATGATTAATCAACTGAACAAACAAAAAAGTGGAATTTTAATCAAGGAAAAATAAAGCGACTGCTTAGAATTGTATAGTTCAAAGCAGTCAAGTAGAGAACAAGATGAAAGAGCTAGGTAGAGAATAAACATCATTTTTTAAGGGTTTTAGATTTGTAGTTGGGTTTATGTTTTATTATCTTTTGAAGTCCAGGTAAAAGAGTACTCATTTTCAACAAAGAAAAAATATTATTGAGTTGAACGGTTGAACCCCACATAGAAACAGATACATTTTCTTGTCAACTATCCACTTTAGCAGAATATCGGAACTGTAATCCTTACAAAGTCACTTAGACATGTTCCTCAGTGTCTCATCTAGGCAGGATTTTAACTGGTTGAACTGTAAGCCTTGATGCCTTGATGCAGTTATCTAGCATTTACCCTCATGTCACAAGTGATGAGCCTGCTTTTTTTTCCCCTTACAATGATATGTGGATCATTCTCTATTAATATTAAGGAAGGTTGAAGAGTTGTTTTTTGGTGTTTGCCTCAACATAAACCTAGAGATTTGAAATTACATGAATTGATAGTGTGACACACATGTGAGGAAACAAAAAAGTCATGTTTAAAATCTAATGGGATATTTTGCTACAAAACAAAGTACATACATGGTGGTAATTAACATTCACGATGCTAAAACTGTGGAGCATTAAACCTCTGAGATATTTAAACACATATTTGATGCATAAACTATAAAGTTTTTAAAAGTTATTTTCACTTAAGGTCAAGAAGAAGAACGGGCATGTTTGAAATTTCCATTATCACCATGGGATACATTTCTATCTCAGCGGGAAATTAGAACAATAGTGTGCAAAGAAAGTAGTGCATGTGCCAAATATATGGTTAATAGGCTAATAACATACCAAATGAATAAAAGGTATAATTTTTTTTATTAATAATAATTCTTTGATCAAATCAGAACATTTTAAAAATACTTTAAAGCTTAAGCGTCACTGGAAACACCTTGAGGCGTAAGACTCTATCCAACTACCCGAGGCTTAAGTCAGTGGAACTGAGAAGAGCATGGAGGGCGCCTTAATAGTGACCTTTTAGATAATGGGGTTCCGGTGGAAATGCATTTTATTTCCTGGAATTATGTTATTTCTTTCTGGTATTTTTTCCCACAATTTGATGGTTGGATGAAAATTGTGCAGGGGTGGCGGTAGAGGTGGATATGGTGGGGGTGGAGGTGATAGACGTAGAGACAACTACAGGGATGGTGGAGGCTCTGGTCCAGAAAGGAACTATTCTGGTGGAAACAGATCGCGCCCATATTGAAGTTTTCAACCAAGAATGTTATGTACTAAATTTGTGATGGGAGGTTTATCTTTAATTCAAGTCCCTGATATGTTCTCTCTTAGTTGGTGACTTAAAAGGTAGGTTGTTTTCTCTACTTTGAGCAATACCCTTCTTTTGGTTATTGCTACATGGTGGGAGCTTTTTCCCAGTTAAAACTTGATTGATATGAACTATGTGAATGTTTTTTATAGAGGGCGAATGGATGTTCTTCAAATTGCTGCTAAGGTAGGTTGAAATAGTCAGGTGAGTGTTGCTCCTAACATACATTACTCTCAGACTAGTTTTTACAAATGGTGCTTTATTATTGAATTAATATATCTTGCCTGCTGTTGGTATTCTACATGAGTAAAAAATAAGCATGTTTGTCGCGTCCTATTTTTTTTAGGAGTGGATGACAACATTATTTTAATTTGACAGGAGGATGGAAACAAAGCCTTTTCATCTAGGAAATAAATAAAGAAGACATTAGGGGAGAAGCAGCAGAGATGTAATGTTGGTTGTTAGTGTTTTTTGTCTTTAAGAGGGAGGAAACGAGAGAAATCAATTTTTACAGTAAAAAACATTATTTACCATATTACGTAGTACTGGTATTAACCAGAAGAAAGAACATTTATTTTAAACGTTAACAAAAAAAAGATTTAAATGTTGGTTGTTAGAGTTATTTGGTATTTGAGAAGGAGGTTTCAAATGTTGGTTGTTAGAAAGTCAAACTTTTATGGTACAAAACTTTTATTTATCATATTATTAACCAGAAGAAGAATACTTAAAAGTCGATGTGTTAAAGAAATTTCAGATTTCTTTTGCATTGCTTTTGATGCATGGTAGAAAGAGTTAAATGATGTTTTCTTATTACTTTTAATGATTAAGTTGTAGTAAGAACTTAATCTACAATAGAACATAATCTTAGTGACTTAATAATTGTTGGCTATAAGTCATTAGCCATAGGGGTTATATCCTAAATATTACTAAATTAAAGTCATTTTCCAAAAATGTGACTACTTCTAAATATGGACAAAAAATGTGACCAACAAGGTCATATATTTGGAAAAGAGTAAATGATCAGTTTGTTCCTCGAAGTTGCATAAAAGGGATCAAATAAATTCTTATAGAAGATTTTGTTTGGACGTGCCATTTGAGGCAGTTTCAGGTGGAATTTTTTGATAAATTTGTTTGAACATCTTATTCATTAAGTCTAGTTTATTCATATCAAATTTTAGCTAAAAATTCAATCGGGAAGACATTCAAATGAATTCTTGAAGATAACTGCGCTTTTAACTGCACATTTATTTTGAAGAATTCATTTTAATATCTTTTCGATTGAATTTTTATCTGAAATTTGGTATGAGTGAACTGAGCTTAATGAGTAAGATGCTCAAAAATTTTATCAAAAAATTCTACCGGTAACCGCCCCAAATGGCGACGGCCGTATAGAATCTCCTATATAAAGACTTATTTGACTCCTTTTATGCAATTTTGAGGACCAAACTGACCCTTTACTCATTTGGAAAATCATGATGTAACTATAAATCTTTTGTCACTGCAATTTTTTCGTGTCACTATATTATGTCACTACCGGATTTTAATGCCACTTGCGAATGTCACTATCCGATTTTAATGTCACTTACGGACGTATGAATGTCACCAGCGAAAACATGTCACTATGACCGTTTCCGATTAGTGAAATTGTCGTCACCAACACCATGGCCGATCACCACCACCCCCGACTCCTACACTCGCACTCAGCCCCGCACACAAATCCGGCAAAAACCACCGTAGACAGCTGCCACCCTCACCATGACCATAACGGCCTCTCCCCAACCCACGAGCCCCCTCCCTGGCCCCACCCCAACCTACTAGCTCCCTCCCCATCTCCACCCCAACGGCCCAACCCCAGCCCCTGCAAATCGCGGCCCAAAACCACAACACACCCCTGACCTCCAATTGTCGTATCACATCACCACGCTACCACCGTCTGCCGCCACTTTCCATCCTCTAACTCACCTCCAGCGCAACTCTGACCATCGACATTAAGTCCTGGAACTCTAATCTATCGAATTTCCGTCGTAATTGAAGCAATCGCAGATTCGCAGATACAGAGACCAAATTGGCATAGAAAGGAGGAGGAGAAGAAGAAGAGTTAGGGCAGTAATGGCAGTCGTTGCAGATGGAGATGTTGTCGGAGAAGAAGAAGAACGATGCGGTGGATGGTCGTGAGAAGAGAGAAGGCGCAGATCCATGGGGAGAAAAGTCGGCGCTGGTCATTTCCTTCGCTCCATTGCCGGTGGGTGAAAATCGTCGCTGAGAGGGAATATCGCTTAGAGGGAGACACATGTTTTTGGAAAGTGTAAAAACAGTCATATTTTAGTCTATTTAAAGTGTATTGATAATACTTGTGCCATTATTTCTTAGTCATATGTACTCATGTTTATTTATGACTTACTTAATTGAAGTGATGAATTATTCATCCCGTTGATACAACTACATTACTCGAGTGCTGCAAAGGGGGTTGGATACTTAGATGTACACATTCAGACATTCTTACCCATGAGTCCATGACCCATTGTGTTAGGCAAGTATCACTTAAAAAGGAGAGAGGTTTAAGATATTAGTATTTTGAATTGGGTGGGAAGGTGATAAGGTATAGAGATGTGCATCGTTTAACTCAACAAATATGTAGTTCGTAGTAGTTATTTTCTAATGTAACACTAATAAATAGGGATGTACTAGTAAAGCCAAAACTCGATTAATCTTTATCTCCCAGAATACCTAGCAAGCTAGCATACCTCATGGCTTTATAACTTGTGAAACCTCCTCATATCGTTTAACAGTTGATCATCATAATTATAATTAATAAAGCATACCAAAACATACATTTTGTGTACATTTTACTCTTCACATACCTACTCTAGAATCTATATACAATACAATTACCATAAAAGGAAATCTCTTTGTCCTTAGATAAGCTTCCCACATAGGGATGGACTCGGGCCGGGCCAACCGGCCCGGAACCGGACCGGCCCGCTACTGTGCGGGCCCGGACCGGCCCGGTCAACCGGTTCGGTTCCGGTTCGGGCCTCCAGGCCCGGTGGTATACCGGTCCGGGCCTCCAGTTTAGTGAACCGGCCCGGCCGGCCCGGGCCCGGTTCGGGCCGGAATTTATTTTTTTTTTTTTTTTGAAATTTTTTTAAGTTTTGGGTTGGATTAGGTATTTTGGGCCATTTGAGGTGGTTTGGGGTGGAGGGGGAGGGGTAGGGGGTTAAATAAGAGAAGAAGAAGAAAAAAAAAAAACATTCCGGGTGGCCCGGCCCGGCCCGGTTCTGGCCCGGAACCGGAACCGGAACCGCCCACCACCGGTTCGGGCTCGGGCCTCCTTTTTCTGAACCGAGGCCCGGCCGGGCCCAGGCCCGAACCGGGCCCGAACCGGAACCGGTCCACCCCTATTCCCACATTCCTTTCACCATATCCTATTTGGTAATTTGGTTAACAAATTTACTGCAATTTACTCTACTTTCCTTAAGTACTAATGACAATACGGTGTAAAATAAATTTTGTTAAACAATGCAAACAATGCATTTTAAATAAAAATTTACCCTTGGCATTTTAGGAAGTTAAAGGAAAAAAAGTTACGTAGTACGGAGTACTATGTATTTCTTTCATATGGATGTGCAATTCAAAGCGGGAAGGACAGGAGTACTTGTATTTCCATATTAATAAAATTTTCTTCTGGAGAAATGTTACACAGATTACCATTTACTTTCTAGCCTTCCATGGTTTCACAGTTCTAAACAAACATTGCGTAATACGGAGTATAGTACAATGTAACGTGCGAGAAGGAAGTCATTCCTTCATTTCCGCAGTCTAGTGAATATTAAAGCATAATTATATATTTATTATTATGTATCATCCGCACATACATTAATGTTGTAGTTATCTGTAACTAGTTGATATCAATTTCTATCCTATTAGGTTGTTACGTAGATAGCTAGTTTTACTCCACTGTAATTGTATATATATGCGCTCGTCTCATTTTATCAGATACAAGAAGAATCATTCTCTTCATGGTATCAAGAGCTTTCCTCTCACGAGAACACTAAATCCGATTTTTTTCCTAGTTTCTGCCATGGCCGGCGCAATCACCGCCACCACCCAGGTCATCACTCTTACGGCCACCAACCACTTCCCCATCAAACTCACGGCCACCAACTTTCCTGTGTGGAAATGCCAAGTCCAATCTGCTCTCATTGGATTGGGACTTGACGGTTACATCGATGGGTCCATCACTACACCGGATCAATTCCTTGATACGGCCAAAACACCAATCAATCCTTGTCATACTATCTGGTATCGACAGGACAAAACCATTATCAGTGCACTACTTGGTAGCTGCTAGGATACTATCCAATAGGGGTGGGCAATTCGGTTTACGGTTCGGTTTTCTTCGGTTTCGGTTCGGTTTACCAAAGTAAAAAATATTATGTTTAATTTAGTTTAATTTGATTCGTTTGCTTATGTTTATTATTTTATTTGATCAAGTTCTATATTTTAGAATTGGAAAATTAAAGTAGTTGTCCATCTCATCTGTTTTAAATTTATTGATTATTGAAATAAAATGTAAAAGAAAATAAAAGATAGAAAAACTAATAATAAAATATTATAAATTAAAACTTCTAACATCTTTTTTATCACTACAAAAAATTCACTTTTTACAAAAATAAGATAGTTGACTAGCATTTATAATATCACATAAAATATTCAAAAAAATCTAAAAAAGTCGGTGGTACAAATGTTGTAATATTCACAATTTTATTCAGATGAATCATGTAAAAATATAAATGCAATTTGCTATTGTTATCGCCAAACATAATAAATACAAATATGTCGTATTAGCTAACTTTGTCATAATGAATGTATGAAATGTGTAAAAGTTAAAATGATATGAATATATGCTTATATATGTATTTCATGATAAAATTATTTATTTATATCTTAAAAATGAAGAGTGAAGATAAATATAAAGTATATATATAGATATGTTGCTCGGTGTTCGGTTTATGGTTTTTTCATTTTAAATCAAACCAAACCAAATTACCAAACCATTCGGTTTGAGCAAATGTTTACCAAACGGTTTACTTAAGTAAACCCAAACCAAACCAAATCAAACCACCAATTTTAATAATATATGAAAGTTTTTTTGAGTTTCTTTAGTTCGCTCGGTTTTGTTCGGTTTTTATCGGTTTTGGTTCGGTTCGGTTCGGTTTAATATGGTTTGGAAGAAATAGTACCAAACTCAAACGAAATTGCATACGGTCCGGTTTCTGTTCGGTTTAGTTCGGTTTGGTACGGTTCGGTTAAACCAAACCGTTATGCCCACCTCTACTATCCAACCGGTTATCTCATCTGCTCTCACCGCCAAGCACGCGTGGGATAAACTCAATCTCACCTATGCGAGTACATCTCGTGGCCGGATTATATCCCTCAAAACTACACTGTCCCGCACCAAGAAGGGCTTGTTAGAAATTAAACTTGGCTTAGCCCAATAATTGGGTCCATTACAAGTTAACTTATTGGGCTAATAGTTGTATGAGAAATAATAAATTAGTTAGCCCATAAGTTAGAGTTAGTAAAGAAAGATCTAGAGTACTCTTTAGTTAATGTACTTATTAAATAATTCTAGAATATTCCTAAGCGAAAATCCTATAGAACATTGTAGAATGCTTAGGACATAGGAGTGCCTAGAAGGATCTTATGAGACCTATAAATAGAGCACTCCTCACTCATTTGTAATACAAGTCAAAAGCTCCAAATCAATAAAAGTTCCAAGTTCTCCCATAAACATCTCTCTCTAAAAATCATCTCTCTCTAAAAATCATCTCTTCCACACACAATCACCCAAATATAATACTCATAAACTACTTTCTTCCAACAAAGTGGTATCAGAGCCATCAATCCTTTCAAGAAAGATGAATGAAAACGGCTTACTTCCCTTCCAATTTCCTCGTCTCACCAAAGATAACTACTGTAGTTGGTGCATTCGCATGAAAGCCTTGCTAGGATCTCAAGATGCATGGGAGATTGTTGAGAAAGGTTATGAGGAACCTCAAGATGATGCTACTTTAAATCAATCCCAAAGGGATAATCTCCAAAGGAGTAGGAGGAAGGATCAACAAGCTCTCACTCTCATATATCAATGCTTAGACGAGGCCATGTTCGAGAAGGTTGCAAATGCCACCACTTCTAAAGTAATTAATAGACATCTTAATATAAAGAGAAATCTTCTATTGAGGATATAATAGGAAAAAATAAATTGCTCATTACTGGTTTGACTCTTTCAAATTCTATTTCTCTACACAAAGAATTCCAAATTTGTCAATTTCTTTAGTATTTCTATACCTTACAATCCAAATCTGAAGGAAAAATAGTTGAGAAGGAGAAAGTGTCAATGACTGAATCAGCCCAAAGTTTTACAAAAGAAGGGGAGGAGCAAAAAGAAGAGGTTTCTAAGAGAAGGCAGATCTGAGAGATTCAGACAGAGAAGGAGCAAGTGGAGGACACCATGGCTCTGGATGGGGCAAAAACGGGGAGGAGGCGGGCTTTGCTCCTTAAGCCCGCCGAAGCTGCTGACTGAAGTTTGGAGGCCGCATGTCAGAGGGATGATTTGAATTTTCTGGCTGCGACGGAAGTGTTTTTGATTTTGTTTTATTTACTATTTCAGCAATTGTTATTTCTGTTTTGGTATTTGTTTTTTCGTTTATTTTCCAGTTTGTAAGACGTCGATTTTGGATATGAGGGATGAGAGGAATATGGTGACCGTTTTAGGCTTTTGGTTTCCCATTTATGGATCATTGAATTATATTGCTATGGTGATTAATTCTGAGTCTGGTTCGCGTGATAATGATTGTCAGATTTCTTTTTTATCATTTGACCCATACTCTGTTATCGATCTAAGCCGAATTCTTTCAAAAAGAGATCGAAGATGAGAAATTATTTGCTTTGTTTATTTATTGTTACATTGGAAAGAGATTGAATATGAGAAACTATTAAGAACCACATTATTTAAGTAGATACTTCTTTTATCTTCGGGAGCAGCGGCACAAGTTTGTTCATAATACTGTTAATGAGAAATTCAAATATGGGACAAAAATGTAGTCAGGGATTTTGGGTTATGTGAAAACCTTATGTGAGCAACTGAAATGAACATGCGGGCAGGGATTTTGGGTTGTGGTCTTGTGGACCTGTGGTGTCATTGTGTCAAATGACACCATTCAAAATATATCTTTATTATATATATATATATATATATATATATATATATATATATATATATTAAAAGTGTTAAAAATGACACCACTCAAACTATATATTTATTGTATATATATGTGTATATATATATATATATATATATATATATATATATATATATATATATATATATATATATATATATATATATATATATATATTGAAAGTGTTAAAAATGACAC